AACGTAAAACGACGTTTCGGAGATGGGGCTCTATCTCCGTCTTCAGGTTCCTACTCAGTTGGGCCCACTAGATAGAGCTAGTCCGGAGATAGGGATTAGCTCTATCTAGTGGGCCCAACTGTGTAGGAACCTGAAGACGGAGATAGAGTCCCATCTCCGAAACGTCGTTTTACGTTTTATATTTACTAGACGATGGATAATATCCAAGGAAATTTTTATTCAATTAACATGTAACTGGCTGATCGACTCTCTTGCTCAGTGATAAACTTTATACCACACTACTCAACTACTTAATCAATTAAGTAAATCTCATTTAGTAACCGACTAGCCTGTTAATTAACTACGTTGTACAGTGTTTACATTGAGCGCTCCATATTAACTGGTCTAGAATTTCCATTGATAGTTGTCTTCTGGGTTGTATCGCCGTGTAGTCTGGTAGAAGTTTGCCGACGTCTCAGAGGTCCTTTTTCCATCATCGGGGCCTTGAGTCGCTTTGATGACGGAGGCAGGAAGGACCTTTGAAGCGACGGTAAACTTCTACCAGACTACACAACGCTGCAGACTTTTAACATTACAGCCACAGGTAGATCTCCAAGCCGTCCGTTTAATTCGCGTTAGATTAAATTGAAGCCACAACAGAACAGGCTTAGGCCACGATGATTATGTCTCTGCTGGTAATCGAACTCAGAGCTCTCAGTCCGAAATCCGTCATTCTGCTTGCTAGGCGTACATTTGATCACGATGAGTCTTATGTTTCAAAATTCAAAGTTTGCTGTAATGGACAGGAAACATACGTCCCACCACGAAAATTTTATGGCAAAAAATATTTAGAGTTTACGCAAATGAATGATTGGGTTTTTAAAGCGAATTGGTATAAAGATCCTCACTGTACATTATACTTTTCTTTATTTGATTCGTCATTTCAAAGAGTTTTTTTTTTTACGTGGTACTGTTGATTTTATTTATCTCGAAAAGTTTTGTATCGACATTGCACGCCAGCTTCAACTTCAGTTTGTGAGCCATTAACAGCACGGCACATATCATATCGATA